TACCATGGGAGCCTCCACTGATATTGGTTCTGCAGGTGTGTCTCCTGCTCCAGTGGCCACTTCCACCCCAGAAAGAAGAAAACCCAAAGGCATACTGAAGCATCAGAGGAGTTTAGATTCAGTCTTTCACAACTCTCCAAAGGAAAGTTCCTCCCAAATGTGCAACACTCTCCCTCACCCGCATCGGACACAAACACTTGTTCACACGCATGTAGATGTCTTGTCCAAAACCCTTCCTCACCCACCTACGTTCAGTCAGCCTTCTTCTAAGATGCCAAAGAAAGGAATACTAAAGAGTCGGGGCTCGGGTTATAACTTAGCCCCTGATCGAAATTGTTCTGGAGAAAGAGTACAAGAGAGCGATGCAGGTCAGTCAGGTTCTCACAAGACTTTCCCGACTGCAGAAGAGAGTCCCAACATGCGAACAGAGGCAGTAAGGAGACGGAAAGGTATTCTGAAACGTAACGGCAAGTTCTCTCGCAGTCTGGATCTTACTGACAATCCCAATCCATCTGACTGTTTGGCACCTGCAACGTTCCCCGAGGCCCTGCAGCAGCTCCTGCGGTCCTCTGGGGACACCGAGGGCCGACGCAGCCGCCCCTCCAGTGTGATTAGTGAGGACAGCCTCTTCTCCTCTGATTCCTTCGATCTGCTGGACCTCAGCACTCAGTCACAACCCAGGATTTTCTCCCAGGGGCGGCGGCACAGCGGCGGCGGCTCTGAGGAGGACGAGGTTAAAGGAAACAAAAAAGGACAGAAATAATAATTAATGTGATAACCAATAGCTGTTGTGTTGAAAAGAGTGAAGGATCCTGATCTCTGGAACACTGCAATTGTTGACATTAACTGGGAATGTGAAGCACCATTTGTGATTGTATTTGCACTTACAAGCACATGACCCGGGGGGTCCACCATCCACCTCTGAGATCAAATCTCCTCACTTTGATCTCGTCTGCACAGTGAAACATCACCTACTGTACACAATGCGTGTGAAATGTGAGGATCAACAAATGTTTGTTTTTAAAAAATTTTCAAAAACACAAGTTATCTTTACGTGCACAGATGAGATATTTGTGTACAGTGATAACCCTTTGCGATTTCCACAACTCAACATATTTACATGACAGTATTTGCAATTGATCTAATTAGCTTTTTTTTTTATTTATGTCAAATGGAACTAAACTGACAAAATTGTTTTTTACTTTATGAGCCTTATGAAATTAATTGATTCTATTTGGACATTAGGATATTTTATTAAGCAGATTAAAGGCCACTTTGTTGTTTCTGTGGAAACTTTTGCCTTATTACAGCCAGGTTTCACCAGGTTTTCATCTAATATTTGTTCTTGTGTAATTCTGCTCGTGAAATATGTTTCAACAGGAAGAATTAGAGATTAATATGTGATGAGAGCCAGGAGTTCGACTACTCTGAAGTGCGTTAAGGGCAGTTTGTGTTTTATTTTGTGTTGAAATACTAAATAAGAAGATGAATAAAGCAGCAAAAGTAGATCTGCTTCCTTTAACACTTTTATTTATTCCTCACAGTATTGACTGTGTGCTATTTGCTCATTTGTACCTGAACCGATTGAGTTTCAGATAGTTTTTTGTTTTTGTTTTTATTTTTGCTGTAACCACACTTGTGCTGCTGTGGATGTTTAAGGTGATCCGTGCAAAAAGACGTGCTTTAAAAAAAATAAGGATATTCCTTGTGTTGACCTATTTTTTACTTGTTCTGCAACAGTTAATAAATTATTTGAATCAATATGTTGTCAAACTTTCATGTTTTTTTTTTTCTGGTGGGAAAGCAAAAAAAAAAAAAAGCATGAATCTGAACAAGAACTTGTGCCATTTAAAAACATGGGCATCCAGCTCATTATAATAAATCATAACATAACATAACTGAAAGCACACTACAATGAAACATTAAACTTCCCACTTACCTTTTACTATTTAGTTACCAGTCTGGAGAAAGTTGGTTCTGTTCAACAAACTGGCTTTGTTGTGGCTTTTCTTTGAGCAAAAATTTTTTTTTCTAAAGAAAAAACAGTGAGTACAGGTTGCTGACATCGTTGGTCATTTTGTTTAAGGAGACAAAACAAATCAATTGTAAAAGAAACTGCTTGGAAAAAAGTAAGCAGTCAGCCATGCATTTTTCCTCTTGTTTTCTCTTTTGTTGAAAATATTCTCATAAGTCTCCCCTTTGGGGTCTCTGCAATATTTTAAAGTGTATTAAAATATTTTCAATGTAATAATCTTATATGTAGGCCATAAAAGCACTAAATATGTTCAGATTTTCCATGCCAGGTCTCAAAATGCATTTAGCTTTGTACGTTTCTTTTTGTGAAACACAGCGGTGGCAGTAATTTGTAGTTCTTGCTGGGGTGTCTGTGTGTTACGCAGTGATAAAACTGGAACCCCCACAGTGCAGGGAAGCAATAAAATATATCAACAGGAATCTACTGCCAGACATTCAGTCTCCTCGCTGACTGGCAAAATAAATCTGCTCACTAAACCGGCTTAAAACGTTATGTTTAGATGATTAAAATCAAATTATTATTTCTTATTATGTTACGCACTGCCAGTTTCTTCTTCGTGAAAAGATGTGTACATATGCAGAATATGCACTTTTGTCATAGCTAAAATCCTTTTACAATAGATGTTGTCCTGTTTTGACAGTGTAGTTCCAGCCTTCTTAGTTGAAAACCTTGTGACATTAAATAAACATACGCCTTCGATGCTTATAGAAGAATGGCTGAAGTTTTTAAGCACTGAGGGCCCGCCCTGATCTGGATGACAACCTCTCTAAGTGGCATGTATTGTGGACCAATAATTATGAAAATGTTAAACTATTGCAAACATCTGCAGTAATTGCAAATACTTAGCAAAGTAAATCTTGTAGGCTAAGAGGCTTTCTGCTTTAGTGCCTCACGTGTGGATACAAGTACCAATGAGCGAACAAGGGTGAAAAATGTCACTGGTTTATGGACTACTTTAAGAGGCTCTGCTCTTAAGAGGCTTTGCGTTATCATGAACATATGACACACTTATATGCATGCTATCTTAAAATCCCTAAAAACATTTAATAAAAATAAATAAATAAAATCATTTACAGGGAAATGTTTCAAGACATAAAGCTGGGTTTCAGACTAACATGTTGGGGGGCAGCCCAACAAAAACAATGCATAAGGTGAAAAGTTAAGATTACATCAGTGAATAAAACCTGGACTTGTGAAAAAAAGGATTTGATTGTCTGCGTCTTTTGTGATAGTGTGTTTTGGACCTGTAAGTAGACATTTTATAAGAAGTATTTCTGTTTCATATGCACATTTAGATTTGTCTTTTCTGAGGTTTGTGAGTAAAGCTTGTTGTTTCATATCAGTTTTAACATTTTATCGTTACTTATAGATTAATCCATTTTGTTTTGCTTTTTAGTCACAGACCAGACAAAATGCATTCTCGACAATAAGTAGCTGCCAAGACAAATCAAGGTGATTCTCATTCTTTAAAGAACTCAATTTAGGTTTGAAGGCAAATTCAATCCTAGACCGGAGCTACAGTGCCATCTTGTGGTCATTGCTGAAACACGTTGAAATATGAAAGATATTCGCAGAGAGAATTGAAAAATTTGAAAGGTTTTGATGGGATTTTGCAAAGGTTAATTTTATCATTTAATAAAGAACCTTCCTATTTATGATTAGCTCCATGTTCCTTCATTTTCAGTTTTTTTTTTGTTTATTTTTTTGTTTTTTGTTTTGTTTTTAGAAATGAAGGAGCAGAAAAACATTTCTCAGTTCCTCTTAAGGTTCACACTATTTCCTCCTGGGTATCAATCAACAGACGCTGAAACAAACAGAGCCAAACGCGCTCACGACGACAAAACAACTTCACTAAAAATACCAGGAAATATGATTAATATTGAAATAAGTACTTTTTCACAGGGATAAGCTGTCATTAAACAATTAAACCAATACATTAATGAATTAATATGTAAATCAATGAGCCAATAAAAGCGCGCAAGAGTTTTTTCTTTTTGGTACATTCAATGACATCTGGAAATTTGGACATCTAGCTGTCGATAAAATGAAAGTAGGCAAAACAATCAAGTCTTTATGTGACTAAAGAACAGCCACATACTTCCACTTTTACAGCTGACTCCCCCAAGTCTCACTTTGCAAACAAAACGCAAAAAGTTTGGTTTTCATTGCTTGTTGATCGTTGCATTAAAGCCACGCATTGTGCGTTAGATGCATTCATTTCTTTGTTCTCCACACACATTGTTGTTGACATACCACCAACGACGCAGCGCTGGATGAGGATGTGTTTCCTGTTTTTCTTATGCAATTAGCGGAGGCTAAAAATTATTGATGCGACTTATTATCGTCACATTTCCTAATGCTGGATTTGCTCACCGTCACACATTTCCCCCCGCTCCCACTGCGTGATACGTCACAATAAACTGTCAGAAGGTTGCTCATTTCGCACCGGAAGTGAAGTGTTAAACTTCCAAATTAAAATAAAAACGTCCCTCCAAGGAAAGATTTGATTAGATATTTTTGTAAACTCACACTTCTTGTTCGGACACCAGTTCAATGGTTGGTGTTCCACCTGCTGAGCATTAGTAGCTCAAGTGGATATGCAGGTAACAAAAGTTATCAATGACTCCTCCATGGATGGGAAAGACAGCTCCATCATGACAGGAAGAATCTGTCAGCGTCACTCATCTCTCATTGCCATGCCATTTCGTATGACCGGCTGCATGTCAGAGGTCAGAGGAGAAAAAAGAAATAAAAATAAAACCATACAATTTCTCTATGCTAAAGACACATAAACGCCATTCCTTTCCCACTGTAATTGGCCAAGCAACACAAATAATGGCAACTGTTTTTGATTGTGTGTCGCTTCACTGTCGTCTGTATCCGAAGGATAAAGGCGGGCTTTCATTTTGAAATAAATAACCGGAAATTGGCCTGTGTTTTGAACTAGCTTAGCTGCTCGGGCGAAACGACAAAACCCGGGTATTTCTTTTCACCGTCTTTCTCCGCTTTCGCAGCCGAGTCAGCTGTCTCAGACAGCGTGGAGAAACTGCTTCCGGCTTCACTCATTCCCGCCTGTCAGCGTGACCGACATGGAGAGTCGAAAGCGACCCGTGTGTCCGGCTCCCAGCCCGGACGAGGAGTTCCAAACCCCGGAGAAGAGAGTGTCGGTGGCCCGAGACTCGCCTCTGGACTCCGGCTTCATGCGGTGGGGAGTGGAGGAAACCTGTCAATACCTGCAAAGAGAAGGACTTGAAGAGTGGAAGGATAAGTTCAGAGGTTGGCTTTTACTTTTAGTTGGCCACAAATACACATAATGCTCGCTAGCAACGCAAAACATGACGTATTCACTGGCATTGCGCTTTTTGTTCTGATGGCAACCAGCTGAGAAGATTACAGGTGTGGGACTGAGGTACCTCAAGGATGAAGACCTGGAGAAGATTGGCATAAAGTAAGCCTTTCCACAAAACAGCATGTCATTGTGCATAAAGGGAAACGTGGCCACTACTTCCTTTTCTGCTTCTGCACTGAATCTGTTGCTCAGGAAGAAGGTTTTAAAGGAAAATCTTCTGATTGTTTGTTCACTTCAGGTGTCTCGGTGACCGTCTGCAGATTCTGCACAGCCTCAGGAAACTGTGGCAGATTGAAGCTGAGCCCAGCAAGGTGAACATTTTCCCACCAAGTCAGACTGTCAAGGCTGTTCAGATAACATTAAGCAGACTGTAGGTCCAAGGGCATCCACACAGACAGCACAAAGGAAGAAGAAGAGTCTCCTCCGTGTTTGTGTTTTGGCCCCTGTGTGACGCTGTTGATTGTGAAAGTGATCCTGTCCTAATGTCGTTTTCCTACCTGGCTGTCAGGTCTTCAACGATCCCATCCATGGCCACGTGGAGCTCCATCCGCTTCTGATTAAGATCATCGACACGCCTCAGTTTCAAAGGCTTCGAAACATCAAGCAGCTTGGAGGGACGTATTACGTTTTTCCTGGGGCCTCCCACAACCGCTTTGAACACAGCATTGGGTGAGTGTCTACATGTCACACCCCAGTTGCTCTTAATTAACTTTATGTAATGGATTTGGGAGTGAAATGCTCACAGTGCCTTGCAAAATGATCATCATTACAAAGTTTGTTCCTTTTTGTCAAGTTGCAACCACGAGCTTTTAGTTTATTTTATTTATTGGGTTTGTAGTTGATAAACCAAAACAAAGTGCATAATTGCTATGTGAAAAGAAAGTAATTTCAAATATATTTACAAATAAAATCTTGTTTCTGGTGCATGCATTTGTATCAAGACACAGTGAGTCACATTCATTTGTAGCTGTACATTTTACTGCAGTTAGAGCTACACCTCTCCCTGCTTTGCACATTTAGAGATTTATATTCCCCTAACTACTGGAGAAAAAAAACACACACATTCAGACTGGATGTGCTGACGCACAACAGCAATTTTCAATCATTTTCAAACATACAGATCACATTATAACGATCGCTACTCCTTGAAAAAATAAATAAATCATTATAGCAGCAGTCATATGCACATCCCAGTTGTTTGCACAGTTTTTTCTTATTTTTTTATACACACACATGTATATAATTACATATTTTATAAAACCTTCAATGTGAATATGCATGCTTGACCATAGGTTGCTCTTGTAACACCTGAATTTTCCTGCTGTGGGACAACAAAGGACAGATTTATAACAATCTGTTCTTTTATATCCGCTATATAATGCACGTGAAATGGAAATGTCACATAAAAACATTACCGTGTGGAACAAAATGACAGGGTGTGGGAACTTCACCAACGACCTGTACTTTTAAAATGGGCATGTTTGTTTTCCCTCGGTCAGCTGTATCAAGCAGGTCAAGTGTCACGAGTGTTTCTCTCGTGCCTCTGTGTTGTGTTTTTGGCTGTTTACAGGGTCGGGTATTTGGCTGGACGACTTGTTCAAGCTCTCAACGAGAAGCAGCCAGAGCTCCTCATCTCTCGCAGGGACATTCTTTGCGTGCAGATCGCTGGACTCTGCCATGACCTCGGTCAGTGCTGCTCTGGGCAGATGGGTTCTCACAATCAGAGCATTCTGAACTTTTAGGGCCTTCACTACACTAGCATGGATGTTGTCATTGTGAGCATTTCCTTTTGTGATGAGGAAAGGAAGAGGCTTTATTTCTCTTTTTAAAAACCTGTTGCTCCACAACATCAACTGTTGTTGTGTCAGTTGATACAAACTAATCCATTCAGGGATTAGTTTGTCTTTAAACTTTGAAGCGATGTTGTTATACATACTTAACACAGAACTTACAGGGTTTTATCGCTGATGTTTTCCAATTCTTTGGCTTCAGTTTCTGGGTGTAAGAACAGTTTCAACACTGCTCCAATCCTTTTAAGATCTTGCCACTCGCCTCTGAAAGAGCCTGGAAACCAAGTATTGCTGTGTTCTTCCCCTTTCAGGACATGGACCTTTTTCCCATATGTTTGATGGCATGTTTATACCCAAAGCACGTCCAGGAATTAACTGGAAGGTAAAACTGGTTTTTCTTGTCTGTTTGTTAACCAGTATCAAGACAAGGTGTTCTTGATACTAGTGTTTAATTTGGCAACTAAAGAGATGTCAAAAAGAAACTTTCCCTGTCCTAGTTCAGTTATTAATCAAGTGACTGCTGTTGTTGGTATGTAACTCGGGACACTTTGTCATTAAAATAAAGACATGATTATTAGATTAATATAATTATCTTGATGCATTTTCCACCACATTAAATGAGGAACAAAGATCTTAACTTCCATTTATATCTGTGCCGTTTAGTTATTTCACAGGGAAGCTTCTTTACAAAATATTGACGGCTCGATGGTTTTGAGAAGTAGCTTGGAGGGAAAAAGCCAGTTTACTACAACATAAATGTATTAATAGATGAAGAAACTCAAATATGCCAAGAGGACCTCTCTGACCAGGATGTAAATTTATGGATCTAAAGTGTACAGAAGATTTTATTGAGGAGGGTAAATATTTCTGCCAGCCAGGGGTTCTGCACAGAGCTGTTGATATCAATTGTTGAGCTAACAGAACATTTTATGGCTCGGATAAAGACATGAGAACGACCAAGCTGAGTCTTTACAAACATGTGTAAAATAAGAGTTTACAACATCCTGCAGGGCACAATATCAGCCGATCTTCTGTTTCAGTCAAAAATCCATTCACTTTCTGCTGATTTTGTTCTGCTCTGTTTTAGGGTTTACGGTTTTTATGTTCTGTTTTGCAGCACGAGGCCGCCTCTTTAAAAATGTTTGACTACCTTGTGGATGACAACGGCCTAAGACCGGTCATGGAGGAGTACGGTCTGGTGCTGCCAGAGGACCTGGACTTTATCAAGGAGCAGATCGCAGGACCGACAGAGAGCAGCTCAGGACGAGGAGAGAAGGTGACCAACATGTTGAAGAAAACAAATCGCTCTGTATCACTGTGGTATTGCAACATTCAGAGTTTCTGCAGAGTCTAAAAAAATTATTTCATCTTCTCAATTCTGAACCTAATAAAATCCCATACCTAGTGGTGTCCAAACTTTTTGCTTTCTTGGCCAAAATTGCAAAGATAAAGCACTCTGATGGCTTTTTTTCCCACAAAATTAAATCCTCAAAATGTTTTAGGGTTTTTAAAAATTTTTACAGTACAGGATAATACCACAAACATTTGGACTGATGTGGATTATCAGGTGTATTTGTTTAAGACGGATTGACATTATTGTAAATAACCACACCTGAATCATAAAACATGTTTCAATCTCCTAAAATAATATTTGCCAATGACGAACTCATTTGCTTTTTCTTTGTCATAGTGGCCGTACAAAGGCCGTTCTAAAGACAAGTCCTTCCTCTATGAGATTGTTGCCAACAAAATGCACGGTATCGATGTGGATAAGTGGGACTATTTTGCAAGGTGGGGAACTATTGTGATTTGATGACTCAGTGTTAATTTACATTATTGTCAACCTGCAATGTAAGTCATGTTGCTATTGCATAAAATGTTTTTGTTGTCTCGCTCTCTGTCCTCAGGGACTGCCATCATTTGGGCATCCAGAACAACTTTGACTATCGGCGCTTCCTAAAATTTGCAAGGGTCTGTGAAGTGGATGGACAGAAGCACATCTGCACAAGAGACAAGGTGTAATTTCATTTATCTCATTTCTTAATTAACAGGTTAAAAAAAGTAAAGTTGGTCTCTAACAGGCAGGATGTGATTTTAAACAGGAAGTGGGCAATCTGTACGACATGTTTCACACTAGGAACTGTCTCCACAGAAGAGCCTACCAGCACAAAGTGGGCAACATCATCGAGACAATGTTAGTTATTACTCTTTTCTTTTGCTCAGTCGCTGTGGTTTTCCTTCTTGGAACATGCAGCAGTTTTTTCTGAAGTCCTGATAAGTTTGATCTCTGTCCACAGGATCACTGAAGCATTTTTAAAAGCAGATCCAAACATCCACATTGAAGGCTCTCAGGGAAAGATCTTCCATCTGTCCACAGCTATTGATGACATGGTGGCCTACACAAAGCTGACAGGTCAGCAACAAACACTGTAAATTTACATCTAATTACATTTTTAGTCAAATGAAAGCTGAATGAGCCTTTGAAACGTATGGTTTTGTATCATTAACTTCAAGCTTTCTCAATGAATTAGACAAGTTTCTTGAGTTGAAGTAACATTGGTTTCTTCTTTCTCTGTTTGTTTTGTAGATAATGTGTTTGAACAGATCCTGAACTCATCTTCTCCAGAGCTTGCAGAAGCAAAGCTGATACTGCACAAAATCATCTGCCGGCAACTCTATAAGTGTCTGGGGCAAACCCGACCAGACAAAGCCTTGACTGTCACTCAGGTTTGTTTGTAATTGGACAGCTGTTTTGTAAATTTAGGTCAACCTGAATTGTTTTGCATATTTTCAAATACACATGAAAATATGTGTATTTGAAAGGCTGCATTAAGTTATATTCTGGAAACTGGAAAATAAACTAAAAAGAGCAGAAATTGAAATGTTCTTCCCAGATTTTGGATTCAGTTAAAATAAAAATTTTGTGGTAATTAATAATTTTTAAAAACTCAGATTTTCTACTATAGTTTTTGTGTTTCATCTTAATGATGTTCAAATGGAAATATCTGTTCACTTTACCAATTATTTTCTTATCTGAAGGAAAATATTCACATTTGGGAGGCAGATTTGGCTCAGTCCATCCCCCACAGTGGCTCTCGTGATGTTGATCTTCAGCCACAGGACTTTGTTGTCAGCGTGAGTTTTATTTTTTATTTTTTTAAATGGTCAGATCTCTTTATAACCTTTCTTCAAAACTTCAGGAGTTCATTTTTTGGGGGGAAACGCTTGAGCTTTATTGTCTGTGTTTTATTTTATAAAATATTGTATTTCCTTGTAGGTTATCACGATGGACTATGGGATGAAGGAAAAGAATCCCATCAATAACGTGCGTTTTTACTGCAAGGATGACCCAACAAAAGCCATAAAAATCAATAAAAACCAGGTAAGGATTCAATGTAAAACCGAATCCACTGTTCCTCTTTCATTATCAGGGCTCTGTAGAACCTATCTGCTGACTAACAAGATTAGCTGTTTATTTAACCGTACTGGATCAGGAATCGACCTGAAAGCTTCATCAATTACTTCCCAAAGACAGCAGTTTGACACCTTTGAGATAAATGTCTAAAATTTTCCATCTTGAATTTATGTGGTGCTGTTATTCCTTTTAGGTGTCTAAACTTCTCCCAGAGCACTTTGCTGAGCAACTCATCAGGGTGTACTGCAAGAAGACAGATGAGAGGACCCTGGAGGCCGCCAAGAAGCACTTTGTTCAGTGGTGCATGGACAGGAACTTCTCAAAGCCTCAGGTATTTCTGCAGACTGCGTGGCATAAACTGTTGGTCAGATATTTAACATTTTAATGTTATGTCTGTCGTAACATTAAAAGCAGATTTCTCTACTTTTCCGAGTCCCTGTACTAACAGAACACTAACCAATATTGTTAGAGACCTATTTGAATAATTCAAAAGAATAAATAAACCTTAATATGCATTATGTCAGATTGTTTGTGAATATTTGCACCACATGACTAAAATGTAACTTTTTTAGTAACTTACTAGAAAGAAACTGTAAAAATAAAATCACATTTATTTTTGATGCAGCATAGGATATTATTTTTTGATTTGATTTAGTCATTAAGCGTACAATATAATGACAACAAAAACCCTCATAAAGATGAACATGATTTTGTAGTTATGCCATCAGTCTCTGTTGTGTTCATCTGCTGATGAAGCCGCAGGCATTTATCAATCTACAAGTTTCGTGTGCGGTTCCTTTAATACAGGAATCCATTGACTACATGATGAGAACAAGTTGGTCTGGATTTAAAGGACTCCAACAGTCAATGGTGTGACGAACCTGTTTCATTCTTGGCATGAGTTTGTTTTGTTACAAGTGATCGAAAACAGCAAAGAAACATCAGCTGTTGTACTTTATCACATTCAGTAATGGGTGTGTTCAAGTATAGATGGGTGGTATAGTATAAAAAAGTACAAAATTTAATTTAATAAAAATAGAACGACACAAGCTTCTACTGGTACTGGCACGTCCTTGCAAATCTCGTAACAAACATTTCCTTCTTACCTGTAGGATGGAGATGTCATAGCACCTGAGCTGACTCCTCTGAAACCCAGCTGGTGCACCAACAATGAAGGCGAAGACAGTGATGCCTGCAGCTCCAAAGAAACAAACGTTCACATGAACGGACTCCAGAAAGCTAAGATTCAACTTAACTTTCAGTGAACGGAGAGAGACACCTGCCCCTTGTTGCACATTAGAAGGAAACAGATGAGTGTCACATGACAAGTATATTTTTCTACAAGTCGAGTTCGCTGAGGAGCCCACAAATAGCTTTTTATACAAAACACAGAAATTAGAAGAGAAAGATTTAGTGAAAGAGTCCTGGACAAGGTTTGGTTCAGAAAAATAAGGTTCAATTTAGCAATATTTATTTTATTGTTTTTAATTAGTTTTTTTTTTTTTTTTTTTTTTTTTTGTCAAATATCCATTAGGCAGTTTAAAGACTTTTATAATTTTCAACACAGCATCTTCATCAAATTTTACTCATCCTTTAATAACCACCATCATAGTCTGCTACATTTAAAGAAACAGCTCTGCACATTTAAAGTGTTTTTACATTTATTTTTATTATTTGAGGTGAGGGAGGAACTTTCTATTTATTTCATGTAGAGTTGTGTTTTGGTTGAATTTTTTGATACTTTATTTATTGTTTCTCCAGAAAATAGTTTTGCTTGCAAGGATTGAAACATTTTAGTCTTTACATTTTACTTGATCATGTTGAGGCCTCAGCAGATCTTTGCTTGACTGTTTAAAAATTAACTGATACTGTTGGTTGCTGTGATTTCTGAATATAACACTTGTGAAGTGAGAAACAAAATCTATTGAAATAAACTCTTCAGAATTGAGAGACACCACAAAGTCGTCTGAAGCTAAAGAAGAAATACTCAAGTTGTTTTTATTGTTTTACATAACTCATGCTAAAGGCTGCAGAGAAACTGGTGAATTCTTGGTCACTGATTGCACTAAGAATTAGAATCACAAGCTGCAAAGAAATATTATTATGTTCATACCAGTATCACCATCACACTGTTTGACTTCAGGCCAATCATGCTGGACATTTTAAACTGCTTGTTTAATTAAAATGAAACAATCAGATATATGTGTGCCATGCTTATGTTATGATGCTTATCTTTAATATTCAGGAATTGAAACTGGTGGTCTCATAATTCATTTTACAAGACGAATGGATCCAATTAATATGCAGCTATAGAGTGAAATTCATTCAAGGTATGAAGAGGAAGATGAAAACATTTTGAAATAAAACCTTCTAAATCACTGTTTCTGACAGTGACAAGCAAACAAGTCTTTGTGTCAAGTTCCTTTAATACAGGAATCCATTGACTACATGATGAGAACAAGTTGGTCTGGATTAAAGGACTCCAACAATCAATGGTGTGATGAACCTGTTTCATTCTTGGCAAGAGTTTGTTTTGTTACAGGAGATCAAAAACAGCAAAGAAACATCAGCTGTTGTACTTTATCACATTCAGTAATGGGTGTGTTCAGATATTTTTCATTTTTTGCATCAAGGCTTACATTGTTGGTACAGATGATTGAAACAAGGTGTTGCCCATAGTTTTGACACTTCAAATGTTTGTATGACCATCATCTTAACAGGCAAGGGAGCAATTAAAATAGAGTAGAATAGAATTCAACTTTATTGTCATTGCACTGTCACATGTACAAAGCAACGAAATGTAGTTTGCATCTATCCAGAAGTGTTATACAAGATATAAATATTTATAAACAGGTGTAAAAAGATATAAACAGAGAATAATATTGATGTGCTATAAATAAAATGTTTTGTAAAAATCTAAATATAAATATGAGAGCTATGTACATATTATACAAATTACACAAATTATATGGAATATACAGGAATATGTAGAATGGATTGTATATATATTAGTTGTTTTATAATACAGGATAAATAATTACAATTACAAAGATGTAAACAAATGTTCTCAAAGTTGCATAAATGATAGATCTTTGTACATCTACTGCTAAGCAAATAAAGCCAGCAAACTAGTTTTGAACACAATGTTCTTAATCTAACACTTTCTAATGTGGCAATGGAAAAAAACAACAGATGTAATCTTAATAATTCACAAGTACAAAGAATCAGAGCTCAAAATTTTACAAATAAAGTAATGGATAAAATTGGACTGACATTGAAAATGTCAGTCCATAATAAATCATAATAAATCAAACCATGATTTTGACACCTACAAACATCAGTTTTGTGAAGTCCCTTTCATTCTTCCTCTAAAGAATGTGATTGCAGTGACATCCAGAGATTTCATGTTTGCCATGTATAAGCAGGACTTTACTCCCCCATTATTTACTGGCCTTTCCAAATTCTCTACAGGAAACTCTAAACCTGCTCCAACATGCTTTTCTACCCGAGTCAACACTGAGTTTACATTGAGGCCATTGTTGAGTGGATTGTAAACTGTTTTCATGTGGTCCCTGGTTCTTGGACAAACTTATTTGATTATTTATTTGACTCGTCTTTGAGAAACTGGACAATCTGGTTGTGGCCAATTTGTTATAAAATTATGTTCTTTCAACTTCTGGATTATAATTCCACCGATGCTCTGAAAAATTACTGTTGATATATTTGGTGACAGCAAAACTTTTTTTGTGTGTTTCTCTTTGCCTTAACCAGCTTTATCACTTTTATGTTATTTAAAGAAATGTTTCATTCTCATTTCAAACTCAATATGTAGCACATCAAGTTACAAACATCATTTTCCTGGGATCTCTGTCTTCAGCTGTGGTATTATTTCAGCTTTTCCAATGTTAATCAGTTGCTCTCTGTTGTATGCCACCCTGTTGCTATGGTAATCCATCATAACAAAAATAGTAAAAAGATGATAAATGTTGCCCAAAATCAGTCCGTCTGCACACTATCCAAACAAGAACGAACAGTTGTCCGAAAAGCAATTTTCCTCCAAAAAGGGAGGAATGAAAGTTTGAAAACGAGAAAAAATCTCAATGTTGGTAACTGTGGTTTCTGAAAATTTGAGAAACGAAATCTATTGAAATAAACTCTTCAGAATTGAGAGACACCACAAAGTCACCTGAAGCTAAAGAAGAAATACTCAAGTTGTTTTTATTGTTTTACATAACTCATGCTAAAGGCTGCAGAGAAACTGGTGAATTCTTGGTCACTGATTGCACTAAGAATTACAATCACAAGCTGCAAAGAAATATTATATTATGTTCATACCAGAATCACCATCACACTGTTTGACTTCAGGCCAATCATGCTGGACATTTTAAACTGCTTGTTCAATTAAAATGAAACAATCAGATATATCTGTGTCATGCTTATGTTATGCTTATGTTGGTTGTCTTTAATATTCAGGAATTGAAACTGGTGGCCTCACAATTAATTTTACAAGACGAATGGATCCAATTAATATGCAGCTATAGAGTGAAATTCATTCAAGGTATGAAGAGGAAGATGCAACCATTTTGAAATAAAACCTTCTAAATCACTGTTTCTGACAGTGACAAGCAAACAAGTCTTTGTGTCAAGTTCCTTTAATACAGGAATCCATTGACTACATGATGAGAACAAGTTGGTCTGGATTTAAAGGACTCCAACAATCAATGGTGTGATGAACCTGTTTCATTCTTGGCAAGAGTTTGTTTTGTTACAGGAGATCAAAAACAGCAAAGAAACAGCAGCTGTTGTACTTTATAACATTCTGTAACGGGTGTGTTCAGGTATATTTCATTGTTAGCATCAATGCTTTCATTCATGTGGTCTGGATAATTGACACAAGGTGTTGTCCATAGTTTTCATACTTCATGTGTTTGTATGGCCATCATCTTCAGAGGCAAGGAAGCATTTAAAATAAATGATGTAAACTAATGTTCTTGAAGTTGCATTAATGATAGCTGTTTGTACATCTACTGCCAAGCAAATACAGTCAGCATACTAGTTTTGAACACATCACTGTTCTTCCCACTTCTGGATTATAATTCCACTGATGCTCTCAATATGTAGCACATCAGGCTACAAACATCTCTGGCTTCAGCTGTGGTATTATTTCAGCTTTTCCAATGTTTTCAGTTGCTCCCTGTTGTACGCCACCCTATTGCTATGGTTACGCATCATAACAAAAATAGTAAAAAGATGATGACAGCTGATACTCCTGAGGACTGAAGGGAATAATGACATGAGTAAGAATGACTCTTTCCACATTTTGTTGGATTCAGTTGTGTGAGCTTCACTTAGTGATGCATACATACCAATTTTAATTGCATAGATTTTGCTGATTGTTAATTTAAGATCAAATTTCACAGGTTGGGATAGTGACCTCATCAATTTTGCTGCTGCTACACCTTATTCACCCCTCTGCCTTGGGCCAAAAAAAAACAAAGGAAGATGTCTGGCTATCAAGCACAGAGGCATCTTGTGGTCTTCAAGAAGGTTTGTATTTGTTGCAAATTGTATTCGTTTTATTTGAAGCTGTTTCACTGAAGAGTTTCTGTTTTAGGACTATATCACACATAAGTTAAATGCTTTTTGTCCATATGGAAACTGTCTTGTCTATTGCAGCTATGGATTATAATGGTTTTATTTTTTTATCTTCTCAAACAGAACCCGACATTCAAGAGCATCTTGATGCCGTCACGAGTACACAACCTTCAGATTCCGCTGTTTTATGACGACTTTGAAACTGCAAATGCATTGGGACCTAAAAAGGGGTTACATAAATTAGGTGCTATCTATTTTACTCTAAGAAATTTCAGTCCAGCCTTTAATTCGTCTTTGCTGAATATTCATTTGTGTGCTCTATTCCATGCACAGGACATCAAACGATACAACTTTAATTTGATACTTGAACCTATTGTTAATGATCTGAAAGTACTTGAGACAGAGGAACTTAAAATTCAAAATTTAGAACATGCGATTCATGGTTCTGTGGTTCAGGTTACAGGGGACAATCTTGGATTGCATGGTCTGTTTGGCTTTGTGGAGTCATTTGGCGCTCGCTATTGCTGTCATTTTTGTCTCCTTGAAAAGCACAGTTTTCAAGCTGTATTCTCTGAAGACCATCCAGAAGTTGTTCTAGGAACTCAAGATGAACATGCACAACACTGTCAAACTGTACAAGCAGATCCTAGGCTTCCTCATGTACAGCATATGGTGTGAAACGTGTTTGTCAATTGAATTCGCTTCAGTATTTCAACACGGCTAACAATTTTTCTGTTGACATAATGCATGATATTCTTGAGGGTCAGTTTGAGGTAAAACTGATTCTGAAGTACATTCATAGCAACTTCCTAAGTGCTTAACAAGTTGCTGGTAGAATACATGCATATGACTATGGTTTCAATCAGCAGCGAAATCGTCCACCTTTGTCAACAGATAAAATGCTGGATGGAAGTGATGACTTGGGTTTAACAGCCATACAGTTTTGGTGCTTGTTATGCAATATGCCTTTTTATTTGGTGATTTGATTCAAACAGATGACAGAAGACAAACATCTCCTACTTTTGCTTCTACATATTGTTAGCATTGTATTTTCGCCAGTCTTGTCAGAGGGCATGACAATGTACCTCAAACATTTAATCATTGATCATCATCAGTTAGCCTAACCCTAAACCGGTTTCATTCTTGGCATGAGTTTGTTTTGTTACAGATGATCTAAAACAGCACAGAAACATCAGCTGTTGCACGCTATCACTTTCAGTAATGGTGTGTGTTCAGGCATTTTTTATTCGTAGCATCAAGTCTTCCATTGTTGGTCTGGATTTATTTATTTTTTTGTTCATAGAGAAACAAATTGGTACAGAAGAGGATTAGGGCCACTGAAACAAAAAAAGTCCGAAAATTTAGACAGTTTGGTGTCTAAATCCTCTTCCCTAAAGAAAGGTAGGAGCGTCAATTTGTAACCCAGTTTTTCTCTGAGAGGTGGGTAGACTGTGAAATTATCAACCATCCAGCATAATTAGCTTAGCTATATACCATTTCACTGGCATTTAATGAATTAAGAAAAAATAATTACCAAGATTTAACTATTCCCTAGAACCATTTACCACTTAACAACAGATAATCAGTCAGCAGTAGCTGTAACCTACGTCCCTCCTGGCCTGTCCTCTCTTATGTGAAATTAAAGTTGCATATGTAACTTTTATAAAAAATAAAAAAAAATTTCACATATTTGTTAAAACTGTCATTATGTTGTCACTGTATGGCATGAGAGATAATATGTGAAAAATCTATTTCCTCTGCTTTCTCCCAGTAATATCTAGAAACAAGCAGTCAGTGACAGGAGAGTTTTAGTGCTGTCCATC